TGCTCCCCTGGGGCCTCATCAGCATGTCTCTGGGGGCCCGGGAATCTGTTTCCCCACGTGCCTGAGGCAGCTGGCTCTGGAACCCGTGGTTTACACAGGAGAACTGAGATGAGCGCTGCCTGGGTTTTAGTGCGGTGTAACTGCCGAAGGAAGAAGTACAAGGGTAGGAAGTTTTCTCTGGCCTCTGGCTGGCCTAATGTGCGCCAGATGGTTTGTGTTTCCAGCCGGGGATTAATCAGGTGAGCATTATCTGACCAGTTTCAGTAGGGACCTTAGGATCCAAATGGACTTCCCTAACCTGAGACGCACCGTTCTGTAAACTACGTTTGCTGGAGTCGTGGTCTGTTCTCGCCTGTAGGTCTGCAGGGCTGCCGGCTCCTGGCTGACCTGGGGCAGCTGCGAGCCCCTGTCCGGTTCCTGCCAGGCAGCACTGGCACACCTGCTGCGGAAGCTTGGTTTCATAGGTGCTTCCTGTTTCCTTCAACTTTTTCTCACCTCAAACAGTAAGAAGAACAGGGAGCTGAATATGAAAGTTCTGTGGTGTCTTTGGTTTTACTGGACCTTAAAGCACTGACGTACTTTTAATGTAAGTGTAAGCTTGTGTGATGACGTCCACGTTGAAGATTTTTTACTGAATCTCCTCTTCAGCTAGTCTGTTGGGCATCTGTGCACCAGGCTCTGCTGAGACAGCAGTGGTCAGGACGAGAGCCCAGCAGGGGAGACAGAGGCGCCTTTTCATTCAGCACTGTGGACGCTGCTGTGGTGCCCAGAGCCCACCCTTTTGTCCCCGTACTTCCCCCACCTCCCCGCCACCACTGCTGTACCAGACACGACTCCCCTCCCTTCTCACCGCACTTCTGAATCCCCCACTTGCTATCTGTGGAGAGCACAGACTTCATAAATCTCCCTCGACCCAAAAAGTACTTTCAACAAACGGGAAGCACCGTGGTTTTGTCCTTTTGCTTCTGGTCCTTCTGATTTTGATCAAATAAAAGCAAACCTGTTTTAAGAAAAGCCAGGAAAAAGAGCTTGCTGTCTCCCCCAACTCCACCCGCCCCAAACTGAAAGCTCTTGGCCTCCCATGAGTAGGACCTGCCCTGGACACTTCCATGGTTTTCCCAGGAAGCTTCGTGCCATGGGGTGCCCCCCAAAGTCCTGTTGGGGTTTGGGTGGTTTCCTGCAGGCACCGTCTGCCTGCACCCGCACCCCCTAGAACACACTCAGGCTTTTTACCACTACTTGTTTTTGTTGAGCTCCCTGGGACTCCACGTGGCTCCTGGGGTGAAGTTTAGAACATGGCAGGGCAGGCGTCCACTGCCCCATCTCACTGTCCCCTGTGTGCAGGGCTTTGCTGATGCCCTGGGCCCTGTGTCCCACCTCCTGCCTTCTCCAGGCTGCCCCTCTGTCCTCCAGATGCACCCCCCCCACTCCACTCTACTGCAGCCACTGCGGGGGCCAAGCCCAGGTTTTCTCCTACCTCCTGCCAGATTGGAGCTTCCCGAGCGGGTCGGGGTGTCATCCTGCCGCCCTCCAGAGGTTGTGCAAACCTGGGGCCCAGCTGTGCAATGGACTAGAGCTGGGTTCTGCAGCCAAAGTCCTGGGAAAGTATTCACACAGCTTGAAGCATACGGTAGCTAGTTAAAGTAAGAGCTTCTGGAGTGTGATTTTTCTTTGCACGTCCTGTTTTGACGTACTTTCAGATTTACAGAAGTTCCCGCAATTGGGAGGACTCCCACTCGGCATTCACGCACACCTCCTGGATGTTAACTCTGGTGTGAGTTCTGAAGCTTGGGAACCTGCATCTTGTTTCCGAACGCGGAGAGCGGTGGTGCGGACAGTGGATGAGGGCCTGTGAGGCTGGAGCGCAGAATGGCTGGGAAAAAGCCGCCGGGCCTGGGTGGGCAGCGCTGGCTCCTGGGGCTGCTGGTGGCTGTGGCTGCCTTGCACCTGGTCATCTGCCCCTACACAAAGGTGGAGGAGAGCTTCAACCTGCAGGCTGTGCACGACCTGCTCTACCACCAGCTGGACGTGGGGAAGGTGAGGCCTGCATCCGAGCGCGTTGTCCCCTGATGCCCGGGGCCCGCTGACCCTCCCTTCTTCCCGCAGTATGACCACCTCGAGTTCCCTGGAGTGGTCCCCAGGACGTTCCTTGGGCCGGTGGTGATTGCGGCTCTCTCCAGCCCTGCGGTTTATGTGCTCTCCCTGTTGGAAATGTCCAAGTTTTATTCTCAGCTAGTAGGTAAGGGGGTCTTCCCATGAAGACAGAATGAACTTGTGTCATCCATGACTGGTCACCCAGGTGGAGGGTCCCTCACACAGGAGCATCCATCTGTTGGGATCTTGGCTGTGCTGGCTCCTGCACGGAGTGCTTCAGAGTTGGGCTCAGATGGCAGCCTTCCCTGGGCTGTGCCCTGCAGCTGCGGTGGGGGTGACGGGCCCCCTCCCTGGGCCGGTGCAGGGGCAGGTGGGAGCGCCGCCTGGGGAGCCCCATCCTGTGAACAGAAGCCTCACATTTCACCGCACAGAGGTTGCCACCAATGGGCTCTCTGCAGGTCCTTCTGGAACTTTCCCTGTGCCCACACAAATTTTTTTAAACCAAATTTCAAACATTCTGTACATACTGCTCTGCAGCCTCCTTTTTAGCCAACAGTTGCCATCTTCCCATTCCAGTAAATTTTTATCTCATCTGTACCCAGACCATATTTGGATTTCCCAGCTGAGCCAAACACATCTTATGGCTGGTTTATCTGGCCTGTGCGTAGAGCTTTGAAAAATCCAAGTTCCTGGACAGACGAGGAAATGGAAGTCCACCATCACTCTGGGGCAGCTAGACGGGCTATCCTGGTTGTGTCGGGGCGCCGGGCGGCCCTGGACTGGAGAACTGAGGCCGCGTCTGAGCCTCGGGGGTTGGGAAACGTGGCCCTGGAGGTGTCAGCCAGGTGGCGGGGCTGCTGTTGCAGGCCAGTCCTGCCCTGCCCAGCAGCCGAGCGCCTGGGAGCCCCTGACCCGGAGCGGCCAGTCACAGCGCAGCTTCAGGGTCGGGCTGTGGGGGTCCAGCTGCTTTTCCCCTACGCCCAGCCGTTTATACTTGTTTTGACAGCTTTAAGAGTGCTTATTGTTAAATAAACAGTGTGAGAGGACTTGAAAGGTGGCCCGCCACACCTAAAGTTAGTAGCAAGTCAACCGCAAAATGAAGAAATTCACCTTCTTGTCACTAGTTTGAGTAAGAAAAGATACTGTCACTTCAAGGTAATGCCCTTTAGTCTATGATCTGCTTTGCACACCTTTCTTTTTGAAGTGTAGTTGCTTTACAGTGTTGTGTCAGTTTCAGGTGTGCAGCACAGTGATTCAGTTACACATACATACACGCGTATGTATTTTTATGTCTTTTTGTTGTACATTATTATAAGGTATCGAATATAGTTCCCCATACTATACGGTAGGACCTTGTTTATCTACTTTATACACAGTGATTTGTATCTGCAAATCCCGAACCCCCAGTTTATCTGTCCTCACCTTCCCCTTTGGCGACCACGAGTTTGTCTCCTGTGTCTGTGAGTCTGCTGTTCTGTAAGTAGGTTCATTTGTGTCACTTTTTAGACTCCACACATAAGTGATATCATACAGTACCTGTCGGTCTCTGGCTCACCTCACTTAGTGGGACGACCGCCAGG